GTGTATGATCACGAGACGTCACGTGCGATGATGTTGTTGAGACTGAGACCGCGCGCGTGTGTGAGCAACTGTGCTAGCGAGAACCCGCTAGGCGACGGTAGGCCGTTAGATATACTAGTGGAAATGTTGAACATTATGAGCGACCCAACTTGGGATTTGCCCACGATGTTCGGGCTGCATAACGTGCCGGCAGCGCACAGCTTTCCTTTCGTGAAGCAAGACAGAGCTACCTGTCGCCGTTACATGCGTACTTTATGTTGCCAGAACGGTGAGCAGGTGAGCAGAGCCTCTCTCTGCTCAGCTGTGCGAGCCTGGCCTGTTCCGTTTCCCCTGATTCCGCAGCGCGTCTAGCTCTATCTCCTACAAAAAGTCTCGCTAGTCGCGCTTCCCTTTCCTCCGCTGTTTCTGTGGCGAGGCGTTCCCTTGCCCGTTCCCTATCACGCAAGCGACGCTGATACAGACGAGCCTCTCTCTGCTCAGGAGTCTCACGGGCACGACGTTCTCTTTCCCGCTCTCTTCGACGACGAAGGGCATCTTCTCCGCTGATCCATTATTGCGCGTATACGCACACGTGTATATGTGAAAAGAAGCGCGCACTTACGCGCGACTTACGCGGTCGAAAACAGAAAAATCCGCTCGAACGAACGACTAGGTTGGCTCGCTCCCGCTCGTCAATAAATATGTGGTGTGATGGCAGCAGAGATCAGGAAGAAGACACAGATGAGGAGGCAGTCCCTCAGAAAAAAAGTCTAAGAAAGAGAGTAAGAGAAATGAATGAGAGCATGACTGGAGGATGTTTTCCAGTAACTAAAAAAGAGGCATGGAAATGAGTACTCTGGCCCACAACTGCATACGACTTTGGGCTCGCATGTAGGTTGCAAACACGCATGAGCACCTGCACCATCCTCCCAATGTCCGCCTTATATATAACTGGCTCTGTCCAACGACCACGTAGCTAGGAGTCTCTTTCATATGCCTTCTCAAGTGCTGCCACTGCCATTGTGAAAGCTTTTTCTCCACACGCAGCTGGTCCATCATCAACCTGCTCACCAAGTAAAGTTGTTGACATTCGAATGGAACAGCTCCGTTGCCTACAGCAGCTTCGAGAGGATGGCATACTGACAGAAGAAGAGTTTCTCCTCCAGAAGAACATTGTACTGAAGTCACTAAACAAGCTGGTTTGATATAATGTAAACTCTGTAGACACTTTTCGCTTAACATGTACAACGATAAAAGTTAAATGTAATTATAAATCCCTGCATTCCTAGTCCACTGCTGACAATTTTCAGCATTGTCGCAAATGCCGTCATCATGAAATCTTGTGGGTCATCAAGTGAATCAATGTCCATTACCTTAAATTGTCCTTTCACCTTTGAAAACGCTTCCTCGATGGGGTAATCGTCTGGTGAGTAAGGGGGCAGAAAGTGAACAAGAGCACCAACTTCATAGACTGTAGTCTTGACATGATGGATCGAACAGTTGTCCATAACAAGAACGCTATGTGGATTTACGCCATTGACAGTCATGAAGTGGAGATGTAAAGAGGTTTGCATGAATTGATATATAGAAGGTTTCACCACTGACAGAGGTTTTGCAGTCCAGCATTCCACTCACAGACATGAAAGCAATAGCTTATCCTCTGACCTCTGCAGCTGATCAGTAGCTCATGAGACACAAGTGGCTTTCCTCGAGACTTGAAATCCATGCACACGTGCCGCAGAACCTCTGCGATGTGCGCATGCACACTTTGGAATATAGAAATATCTTCCTCGTGTATCGAATATCCTCACGATTGCCACTACCCTCTCCAATCTCTTCTCATGTTCACGTCATTGAGTATATCTATTTATGCATAATCGTTGTATCCCTCCTGGGGCTCAGAACATGAACTTGAACCTGAAAAACTTGAACTTCTCGGCGTCGTAAAATTGCTAGCCAGCCTATTTATTAGCGGCCTAGTGCATGCGCAGTTTCGCCGAGGGTTTGCAATTTAGTGCTTTTCATTATGCACAGCAAAGATGCACAAAGCTATATACATGACACCATCCTTCTATTTTGTTCTGTTGTTTTATAAGCCAAATTAATATGAAAGATATAGGGATGGTGTCATGTAGCTTTGTGTATCTTTGATGCGTAATTGCCTTTACCTTGCTTGTTGGTGCTTCGAGCCATCCCCATATCCCCCTTCATTTTGAAGAAATGATATAATCCTCTATATAGTCATTCTAAGACCATCCGTTGTATATACCAGGAATAGGACTAGGTGTTATATAGATGCTGCATTTCCCGTTCACACAATATCTTCCTCATGTATCCTCACTAGATTTGTATAATAAGCGCATTCCCTTACTTGTAATTCTGATTTCTGAAAACTTACAATTCCAAAACCAACAAGGAGGGTAGAGAGTATTATATATTACAAGTAATTAAAAATTCGTTTCATCTCTATGCGTCCTACCATTAGGAGTATGAGATGTGAAGAAGTAAATTAAAGAAAAGTGCCTGAGGCATTTGTTGTTGTTTATACATGTGTTTTCATGTTGGGTATTGAATACATTATGTATACAAAGTTTCGTTTACATAGCTCTTCAATTAATGTGAATTACACTAACACATGTATGTCCATTATAATGTATGCATGGGCACATTTTTAGTTGTTACAGTAAACAACATTGTTTGCACATGTGGTTATCGATACGCACATTCCTAAAAAATTTATGGCTTATATCTTTCGGTTTTGAGTTACGCTGGTCGAAGAAGAGAGAGGAGAAGCAGAAGATGAACAAACGCCCCTATCTAGCCCCATACATCTATGATGCTAGGTACCATGTCGATCCCTATATACTAAGTACTACCGTACTTAGTGATAGTGTTCGTACTTTTAGTAAACAATTGAGGGAATAACAGAACATTAATATACAAGTCTCAAACTGTCTTACATGACTACCCTTTTGAAGTAAAATGCAGTTTTTTGTACGTTTTATCAAAATGGTGAGGGGGAAGTTGAATCAACCATACTGGGTGCCTTGCTTACAGTTTCAGATTGGCGGGGAAAAATCACCACGCAAGGAACCGCGCACAACGTAGGAGTTTGTAAGAGCACTAAGGAATCAGGCCAGCTAGTCTGTAAAAATATTTGGACAAGAAACGGGATGTGCTAGGCGAGGGACTGTTGTCTTTATGCCTGTTACAGGACAAAACTGAAAACGACAACACCACCTTCGCTCGTGCTAGCGCTCTGTAGTTACAAACTGAACTCGTGCGGTGACTTTTGGTCAGAAATTGAGGCAGCGATAGTGGCATTGTCATTTGCTAAAGCTCCTATAACATTCTCAGATGACTAATGTAGCAGTTTAATGGTGTGTTGCCCATAGTTAATCTGGACCACTAGGTTCGCTTGCTCGTGCTCAGGACATGTACTACAAATTCTCTTATATAGCACCCCAACCTGTGGCTGAGATATAATCACTTAAGCCAGATTAAAACCTCAAACAGTTCTTTATCAGTCAAAAATGAGAGCCTTTTATATATTAACATCATGGGATGGTTATCATTACTCATTCATGCGTATAAAATGCTGTATAATTATAGCTAGCTATAATTCTTAGAAGGCAGTCATTTATTAATGTACTAGTCTGTTTTTAATATGCTAGCAAAATGGAAATTCATACAGTTATATCAAATTCAAATCTTCGTGGGGCACGTCGTATACACTGCAGACCACTGGGAGGCTGGAGTGGCTGAAGCATTAAGCCCCATCTGCCACCAGAAAAGAATCCAGATACTGTTAAGGTGCCGTGGGAAGTAGCTGCATGAACAAAAGAGAAAATAGGTCATCCGAGCATCGGTAGGTGCTCTATGTAGGAATTCATGTGATCTACGTACAAAATGCCTCAAAACTTGGCATACCTAGCTATAAGCCTTTGAAACACAAATAGCAGCCAGCAACCCAAAGGAAATACTCTTCTGATGGAGGCTGGAGCATATTCCGGTCCCGAGGTGTACAATGGCATAGTACACAAAAGAGAATAGTGGGAAGGCCGAAGCAGAAAGGTAGGTAGCTAGCTACGTAGTTACAGCCTTGCGTAGCTAGTCTGCCCTGTTTAAGGGGCTGATGGCAGAAAAGCAACTACTGGCAAGTGTGTGTTAATTATACCATTCGCTATTTTCCCTAACTCTTCTACTGCAATTCTCCCTACACTGTCCTGATTAGAAAAGGTATTAGGCCCCACTACAAACTGAGTAGTCGAGTAGCTATAACAGTGCAGCAGCTAGCCTGAGAAAAGAAAGCAAAGGGTACAAGTTGGGACTGAATTAAGAAAGAATGCTGCTGATTGGCAATAAAGCTAATTGATAGGCTGCAGCAAAAGTACACTATCAATGCCAACCCTGAACAAAAGTAGGCAGCTACAAAAGCACACTATCAATGCCAACCCTGAACAAAAGTAGGCAGCAACAAAAGCAGTTTATAGAGCCAATCGAAGGCTTTGTTTCGAGCCCTTAAATGCACATGCAGCCATAATTACAACCATGCAAAAAAGTACATACCAGGCTCTACCCCCCCCCATATAGCCTTAGCTATAGCCTTACCAGCATCTACAGTACATGTTGCATTAAAGATAGACGCAGCAGCGGTGTTAGAACACGGGAATTCTTCCTGAACCTCAAACACTCCGAGTACAGCATTCTCCACCAAGATTCTGAAATCAGTGGCAACATTGTCAGCAGATGGACCGGTTCCTTCAAACATGACAGTTGCACTATTCCCAACCACAGTTGCCTCCTCTTCTCCTCCATTTATTTGATGTACATGGCACCTTACATTGTCTGTTGCAGGAGAAACCACAACACTCATTACACTGTGATTACCTAAAAAAACTCATCAGCTCACCAGATCGAACATCACGGGAGAGAGCATGATTATTTTGGCAGAATCCGTTTGCAGTAATGGACAGTGTCCTAACACGAGTAGTATTTAGATCAGTTATGAAGGGATTAGTACCTGCCAATAGAAAAGGTTGTATATAATAGTAGGGGACAAACGCTAGTTTAAATGAAAAGCACAAAAGTGCAAACGCTCGGTGAACTGCGCATGCGCGTTACCGGTAATTGATGGGCTGGGCCTATTAGTATGCGTTTACTCGTGGTAGCTCGAGGAGAGTGTGACACGGGCTAGCTACACTACTAGATTGCATGCGGTAGTCGATATTCATCCTGCGTTGCAACTTCTGGTGCCTCCAAGGTCTGCAGATCTGATCGAGGTTAGCCAGTGCTAATTTGGATATTTGCCTTTTCGCTTCGTTTTCACGCCATAACTCTGGAATGCAGTGCTTTTACGAAATTCGCCAAATTTAAAATCAAGCTAGTGTAGGGCTGAACCTTTCGATATCGCTATTTTGTTGTCCTGTTGCACGTGGTGGCAGAAAACGTGGAAACAGACAGACAGACGGACACACACACTTACGAACCAAGTACCGTAACCCTCGGGTTAATGAAAAGCACTAAAGTGCTAACCTTCGGCACACTGCGCATGCATGGTACCGCTAATTGATGGGTTGAGCCAAAAATATGCGTTTATTTGTTAGCTCGCAGAGAGTCTGACATAGGCTAGCTACGCCAGTAGATAGCATGCGGGAGTCGATACAGGCCCTTCGTCGTGCCTTCTTGTGCCTGCAAGGTACACAGAGCGAGCGTATCAGGTTTTCATGGAATATATCTCGAACGCAGTCGTGTCAGGAAAATCACCATTTGATTTTTCAGTTCTCGTAGCCTGTAGTGCCATAATAAGCGTCGACACACACAGACAGACAGACAGACAGAACGACTAGTGTAACCCTCGCTGGCATGCGCGCCAAGGGTTAATGGATAGCCTCGTTCTCCGCGTACAATTTCTGCATATGACCTAGAGCTGGAACGAGGCTAAGTTAATGACTTAGCTCAGCCTATGTCCTTCAATAATTCCAAGTGTTTTGAGACAGTATTATTGTGTGTGTAAAAGGGTAAGCTTGCTGTGCAAGGGAGTACTGTACTGGATAATGATACTACATTAGAACATGCAACGCATTTCTGGTAAGTGAGTGCTATCAGGTCTGGAGAGTGTGACCTTTGAATCCGTGTTTATTAAGAAATAACGTAGGATATTATGGTACGGGTGGCAACGTCAGAGAGATACAATATACATGCAGAAAAACCACACAATTCAGGTAAGTATGTATAGGTTTGCCAATTATAAGACTCATAAAGATAGCGAACTCACAGCTCAATGGGTCTCCATTATCTACTTGACATTCAAATCCAGCAATACAGCCGTCCTCCATTAGCTGTGATGTTAAAATCTTACCGGTAATGTCTGGTGTGTCGTTGGTGAATTGAATACTTGGGTCTACAGAGGAAGAGGTATATATTATTATGAAGCATCTCTGGACACACGCATGGCAAACCTTCATCGTCATAGATAGTGGCCGTTGCAGATGCCGGTGAGAGAATGACATTAGGGTCAGATGTTGACAATTGAAGCAAGAATGTCTCGCAGCTCTCCCTCTCTAAATCGTCCACTATCTCAACATTCAGACAGGGAGGGTCATCTCCAGCAACAAAGTTAAAGCTGGAACTATTTGACTGGTAGTCAGTTTCAGCTGTAAGACAAGCAGTGGGATGTTAATTGTCAAAGAGGAATAATATCATTGTACCAGTGGCACTTCCTGTTGAGATGGTGAAGAAATTGAAGGAAGCCACTTCCACACTTTCGCCAGTGACAGTAACACAAGCTGTCAGAATTGGTAAGTTCTCACAAATGGTATGAAGCGTCAGTCCAATCTCAACTGCAGGTGGACATTAGGTTTAAGAACCAGGGGTTCATTTAGAAATCCATCGGGGGGTGGGCAAAATAAGTAATTGTGAAATGAAAAGCACTAATAATACACAACCATGCACCCTCAGGGTTATCAACACATTCCTTGGTGTATTTGCAATAACACCCATAAGTAGGCGTGGTATACCATGGAAACTCATTGCAAAGCCACCCTCAAAACTACCTGTCAAAAGCTGTTGTGAGCTTTCAATTGTCGTGGGCATAATCATGCAGTAAGCAACATGCTGTGTAGAGACCACTAACTCAAGTCTGTGCCTTTAGTGTTATGAATGGGAGGCAGAAACGACATTATGTGGTGGACCTGCCAATGTTTCATGCATGCCTAAGTTCTTCACTTCTTGTCAGAAAGAACCTTCTGTGCTTCAATCAGCGCCACAAGGCCGTTCTCAAGCAGAGTGAAGCAGTTCTCCTGGGACAGTATAACTCAATGCTTCAGATTCTTCCTTTCACAGAATCTCCTGACTATTTCACAGGATATCAATATCCCACGAAATTATGCTTAAAAAATAAGTAGGCAGCACCTTTGTCAACCATGTGTAAATATACAGTATAAGAGGAGCAAGCCATTTAAGACAAGTGTTTAAGAGCACAGTACTCACCATCCTCATTCTGAAGTTCAGTGAGAGCCAAAGAAGAGGATATAATGACACCTGAATCAGAGGAACTCAGGACCAGATCAAAGAACTCCCCAGCAGACTCTGCATCATTGTCATCAACCACTGTAACTGTGACACACGCTGAACTGGAGCCAGCAGGCAAGATCAGACTTCGTAAACTTAGAGACTGATAATCTTCGCCACCTGCAGGAAGAATATTTGTAAGAGGGACTGCTGAGATGCACATGATTCATGATCTCACTGGTGGCTTGTGGTGACATTGTGGAGTCTGCTGTGGACACAAAAACTTCAATGTCCCGACACAGAATGTCACTTGGGACCACGACACAGGCCGTGAGTGATAGGACATCCTCTCGTACTGTGTAAACACTCTCCTCCCAGGCAACATTCACACCTTTAGCAAATATATAACACAACAAATTATGGCGAGTAAATCCATAGGACCCAATTAGGAAAGACTTTGCATCTCCTTGCAAAAAAACACTTTGAATTAGCAAACAGTCAGACATTGGAAATGCGTATGAATTGGGTATCCAGTGGCGAAATATGTGTGTAGCCTCATAAGGCCTTCCCCATTTGCGTGATGTGTAGTATGTGTGTGCAGCATGCGCAGAATAATTGTGCGGGGTAATCCCATTTCTAGTTGGTCAGTCATAACCACAGACCAAAACAGAATGAAAGTCACAAACTAAATCTGTAAATCTGTGAATGATGATATTGTGCTCTACCATGCACACAAGCCTCGAACCCCAGGCCTCCCCGTTTATGCAGTGTATAGTAGTGTAGTGTGGCGTTCTCTCGCAGTTCAAACTGACAG